AAATAATGGAATAAAGTTCAATTATACATACAATTAGAATAGTCTCTGCATGTTTTTAAAAGGATAGTAGGAAGTGAGTTCTTACACGAATGTAACGACACTTTTTCATTTTTGTAGTAGCATAAAATCTCACAGTGGTCAGAGTGGAGGCGACGCCTGAGCGTTTTGTACTTTTCTGTGGACTAAATGAAAATGCTGGTCATCTTTGGAATCCTGCTGATGTTCACAGAAGCTGGAATGGGTAAGTTTCTGCAGTGGAATTTCATTTTATGATTTAATGCTTCACATTTTTTGATGACAGTGGCAAAGACGTTTGTTCATGTGACAGTTTTCAATTTATGTGTATCTTTCTACTGAATTGGTGCAAAGTCAGAGCCTAAAACACATTTCAGACTTTTAACTGACTGGGGCTTTAGACTGAAATCTTCTTGTTTTGAGTGATTAATTAAGTTTATTTTATTAAAAGAACTAATTGAGCATTCCAGTTTGTCACTACCAACAGAATCATAACTCTACCAACTTTACCAGATGTTTGTAGTGACTGTTTCAGCAGTGACAATTTTAGCTAATTTTGAGCAGAACTCAAAAACCCCAGTACATGATGAGCAAGTACAGCTTTGAACAGTTGTACATCTATTAAATCATAATGTTTTTCATTGAAACACAAAAAAAAAATTTACTTAATTGCAGAAAATGTGGTTTGTCAGTGACATTTCCTGATGTTACACACTGATTTTCAAACTTTCAGACATATTTACTTCAAAACAAAGGGATCTGCTCACCATATGGTCATGATGGACAGGGATGCAGTCTCATGTCCTGCTCTAATGCAGGGGTGTGGATAAAATAAGGCTCTGCGTATGACCTAAAACTCTTTGTGTTTCAGTAGTGACATAAAAATGTGGGACAGCATTTTTTGAATATACTTTTTTATGAAAAATGTCACAGTGATAGAAGCCAGGATGTTGAAGGGGCATGAAAAGATCCAGAGCTCTGCCCAGTTCATTGTAGAATTGCTCTGGCATATGGTCATAACATATTAGTATTATTTTTAATTGATGTGTCTCTTTGCACATAGATCATGTCTGTTACAGTCCTTTTATATATTAAAAAAAAAGATAGAAAATAGAAAATATAAATTAATATAAAAAATATAGAAGATATAAAAGATAATTGGTCATGCTGTAAAATTGTTCTTGACTGGTTGGGGTTGGGGGCGGTATGGTGGCACAGTGGGTAGCGCTGTCGCCTCACAGCAAGAAGGGTTTCCTCCAGGTGCTCCGGTTTCCTCCCATAGTCCAAAAGACATGCAGTCAGGCCAATGGGACACGCTAAATTGCCCCTAGGTGTGAGTGTCTGTGTGGATGCATGTGTCTGTCTACCCTGCAATGGACTGGTGACCTGTCCAGGGTGTTTAAGGAATGGTGAACATGCCTTTGTGTAGTATTATAAGGGTCCAGGCTAGGCAATACCCCTGAGAAGCTGTCACTTTATATGCATTTAACATATAAAGTTAAAGTGTTGTTTTACAATTATATATATTTTTTCTGAGTTTTACTATGTAATATTGATTATGTAAAATAGATTTCTTTGGGAATTATTTTACCTTCCAGGACAAAACCTTCACCAAACTATCTTAAAACTATGTCTCAGACATCGGGCCACATATTCATAACCACTTCCTGTACTAGCTTTCTGTGAGGAAGTTGTTGAAGTACATTGCAGAGTTTTTTTAAGTAGACTTAATAATAGTGAAATGATCAGCTCATGCAGGAAGATCATTTTACTTGACGAGAAATCTTAAAATAAGTTCCAGTGTAGAAACAAGTAGGTTCTGAAAAGTGTTTTACAGCCTGAAATGAGTAAAAAATGCTGTGTTTTTTAGATCAAATTAATTGAGATCAGACTTGCTACAGCACAGTAATAAGCGAAATATGCTGTATATTATAATATCATCATTTTTGCATTGTTAATTTTAGAACACTGAAAAAAATGAAGGCCAAAGAACAAGAAAAAATATATTTAAGTGGAAATTAATTAATTCTAGTGGTGTGTAGTTATGCAGTTATTGGTACTTTATGTAACATAGCTTGTTTTGCCTGTAAATTATTCAATTTTAAGATTTCCTGACTAACTGAGGCATAAAAGACATAGCTGTGATCACTTTAAGAATATATCATTAGATCAAAGATAGAAACTAGGAAATACTTTTAAAACAAGATAATTAATTTCATATTTCCAGATTTAAGATTTTAAATCTTGGCAAGCACAAGACAATTTGGAGTACATTAAACTCTTCAGATGTTACATTTCTATCACCACCACTGTGAACAATTTATCACTTTATGCAGAAATTTTGACTGTGGAACTCCCCTTTGACACTGACTTAGCTTGCAATCATTTTTTTTTAAACAATGAAATTAAAAAATCTAATTATTACTTCCACATTTATTTCTTCACTGAAAACTGTCACTCAGTGTTTAATCTCAGCTCTCTGGTGAAAACAGGCTGTTTAAAGTGTTTTAGAGGTGAATACAGTAGACGACACTTCACTGTATCAGATTAATGACAGAATGTTCTTGCTGTTCTTCCTCTGCAGGTTTGCTGTTCATGAACCCTGTTTGTAGATTTAATCAGAGTGATCCATGTTATGGAGCTGTGGGACGACCACTGTACCTGCAGCTGCCATCTGAGTATCAATTAGTCTTAAAGAAGAACATCAGTGGAACTGATTCTGTAAACATTTTCAGATTTAAAAACCAAAAAATCACACAAAACCATTCAGATTATCCAAGATGGCAGTTTGTTACTAATAACAGCACCATGATAATAAACAGTGCAGAGAAAAGAGACTCAGGAAGATACATTTTAGATACATTTGATTCAGCAGGGAGAGACAGAGGCGTTTATCATCTCCAGCTGGTTATTGAAGGTAAGTCTACACAACCTCTAATTACATCACACAGTAACAAAAACATAAAACTACTATATTTACTAATTAACTCATATAAATTCCTAACAGAGAATTTTGGTAGAACAAGTAGGACCACAATATGAGTTCAGTACTACTTTTAACAAACTGTATAATGACATTAAATTTGGGATTTCTAAATTATTTGCTGCAAAGATTGGTATATTGGCAAGTGAAAATGTCTAAAATCTTGTAGAGATATCTAATATTTCTCATGTTGAGACTGTTGTAAGCTTATTATAAGATTATTTAACTTGCCTCTAGGTATTTTAAAGTGATTTTAGTAAGTGAAATTATCTCACTTCATTCAACAAGCAAAATTATCTATCAGTACAGTGAGATAATAGACTAACTAAAATCACTATAAACACACAAAAATGTCTAGAAATAAGTTAAATAACTACATAGTAAACTTACAATAATCTCAATGAGAAATATTAAAAGAATCAAATAAATATAAGAAAATATCACTTGTCAGGATACCATTGTGTTACTGCTGTATTTGTTAATATCTTACAGGTTTTCTCAAAACATCAGTAGCTTTGATTGTAAGTTCTTGTATTCAGAAAAGAAAAAATCTTAGTTGTAGAAATTTAACTGTCTCATTCAGTATTTATAGAAAATTAAGTGGTGGAGAAATTCAGGCAGCCAAATAACATTATTAGCTCATAAAATTGATACACATAGCTTGGGGTTGATTGATTGATCTGTAATCTAGACTATGTTATAATCTAGACAGAGTAATAATCTACAATGTGCTGTAATATAGATGGAACCACACTCTAGACTGAGCAATAATATAGACTGAGCTGTAATGTAGATTGAGCTCTGATATAGACTGAGCTCTAATCTAGACTGAACTCTAATCTAGACTGAGCTCTAATCTAGACTGAACTGTGATCTAGACTGTCCTGTATTATAGACTGACCTGTAATCTGGACTGAGCTGTAATCTTGAATAGCCTGTATTTTAAACTGAGCTGTAATCTTGACCTGCTTGTAATCTGGACTAAACTGTACTCTACACTGAGCTGTAATCTTGACTATCTTGTAATCTGGACTAAACTGTAATCTACACTGAGCTGTCGATCTATAATTTCCAGATGTGGTGTCCTCAGTGGCTGTGAAGTACAACTGCTTCTCCATTGAGAACAGGACATTGTCTTGTTCCTCTGATGGAGATAATGTGCACTACAGCTGGACTGTCCAACATGCACACCAACTGACTGATGGGAACCAGACTCTTCTGCTGAACAAAGAAGCTGTTGGAAATGTGACCTGTTATGCACAAAATCATGTTAGCCGTGAACACAAAACTATTGAACTACAACAGTGTCCTGGTAAGTCTTGTCTTTTTAAAGATTTAAATGAGAAATAAAACAACATTAACAACAACAATAACAACAACAACAGTGATACAACTGTGAAAGTGTTATTAGACACAGCTTTCAAGGCAGAACCCAAAGCAGGTCATGTGTGAAATTAAATCATCTCTCATGCTGTTATATTTCACATCATATTTTCTTTCTTTTTCCAAAGCAAAATGTAATAACTGTTGGCATGTGCTAAAGAAGTTGCAGTATCATTGTTTTTTTTTTATTCTGTGAATTTGGTGTTTTCACAGGAAGTGATCAAAGGTACGATATAAATGATCGATAAACAATTTTTCAGGACCTGCAGTTTCAGTCTGCTTTAAGGATGCTAGGATGCTTGAGAGTTTTAAGTTTGCTTTTTTTTGTTGACATCTTAGCTGTTCGATTTGAAAAGTAGACTGAACACATACTTCATAATGAAGGGTAGCTAGAGTGGTGGGTTTATATGATTTCAGCATATTTACTGTATAGACTTGCCATTGTTTTGTACCTATAAGGCAGAAATGTATTGTTGTGTCACCTTATTTTTATGACATTGCAGGACATTTAGAAATTGTAACTTATCCCTAAAAGAAACTATCTAAGTGACATACTCACTTTTCTCTTTATCACAATTGATGCTCTGTTGGTGTGTAATTACAGAGCCTACAACTGTGACCCCCAGTACCACTCTGAAAGTCAAATTGACCCCATGGATGCAATCACGTAAAGGTACAAGTCTCACACTGACTGATAAAGAGGCTCAGACCCCCACTAATAATTGCACCTCCAACCCTCAAGTTCCTCTCAGTTTTCAGAGTAAGAGAATAGCTTGATAAAGACAACACTGCAAGAAAATCAGCGTCACAAAAGAACTTAAAACCTTATTTGGTACAAAATTCCTTTGAAATAAAATGTTTGAACAAGCTTCAAGCTCAATACTAGAGAAACTTTGTTCTAGTAAATAATGAATAAAGTAATAAAGTAAAAATTTCTACAAATAATACTTTTTTGCTTAAAATAAGATACATTCCTGAAAATGCTTCTCAAAATGAGGCACCAACGTTAAAAAACACATATATGATAATAAACTGCTTTATGAACTCCATAGAGTTAAACATTTGATGCTCATGTGGTGACACTGCAAACAATGAAATCTTAATGAGCCTGAAAATCTTTGTGTATTCATTTTAAGATTAATAGACTAGACTAGATTTATATGCAAGACGATAAATTTAGTTTAAAATTTCAAGACAACTTATTATTATTATTATTATTATTATTATTATTTAACATTATTTTAACAATGCAATGTTTTTGGAATATTCTGAGTTTATAAAGCAGGAAATCTGTCCAGTTAAGTTCTTATAATAATTGGTCTTGAAATGTCTTCTACCATAGTGGAGAGCTTCAAAAGTTTTCAGACCACAAAGTCTAAAAGCTCCTTACTCTAAAAAAGGTAATTGTAAAGAAGTACCATCACTTATATGTCTGAAACAGTGACATGGTGGTTTGATTTCAACTTTGGGGGTCACTGCTCACAGCATCTGTCTCAACCTATTCTAAGTGTTCAAATGTTCAAGAATATTAAGATGTGGAGTCGCTTAACCAAGAACAGAGAAGTAGGGCTGTAGTCAAGACCACCTTTGTCGAGTCAACGACCATGGCAAGTCGAGATCAAGTCAAGACCAAGTCTAGAGGGGGCTGAGATCAAGCCAAGACTAATGACAGTGAAACCTAAAATATCAAGTCCCCTTTGAAACAAAGTCTTAAATAGTCTTTATTTCCAATAAATGAAGGATTTTCTTTACACAAAAATACAAAATATCTCCATTTCTATTTACACAGATGGAATATGGATTCAGAGTTTGGCATTCATTGCCTGATTGGAATAAATCTAACCAACAGCATCAAAATTATATCAAGATATTTTCAGATTTTTATCTGACGAAGTTGAGAGTCAGAATAAAGCCTTTAAACAAGCATCAACTGTTGTAAAGAATGAAGCCCTTCATATGACATCAAGAATTCTTCCTGTGCTTTTTAACTGTATGCTTCGTGCAACTGTCTCCTTTTTAAAGAGATTAAGGTACCACTTTAGAATAAGATCACCATTATACAGCATGGCTTAAAATGAGTTTGTTAATGTTTATTAGTTGGCTCACAAACACTTTAAAAATCATAAATATAGCAGTTATAACACATTATGAAAAGGGCAAGTGATCAGTAAACATCAAAATCTGAGGTTTAACTGTATAAATGAATGTGGTTTCACTATTAGGCAAACAACAGGTCACTGTTGCTCTTTTTATTCATGTGTTATAATTGCTTATTAATGATTTCAAGGTCTTTATGACCTAAAAAATAATGATTAATTAACTCATTGTAAACCATTCATAAATGCTTTATTAGGGGAGTCTTATTTTAAAGTAGTACCAAGATTAAGATAGTACAGTATTTTCTACAGAACCTGTGAAATTGTTCACCTCTATGCAAAACTACTGCGAAGTGTTTAATACCATCAAGTCAGATTTAGAAACATCCTCTCAGACTCAGACTCTGAAAACTCCAGCCGTCCTACTGAACACCACTGCAATAAAAACCACACCAGCAAAACCATCATATGTTGTGTGTTGGATGCTGGTCTGTTGGTCAGCAAAAATAAAAGTTAATATTCCAATCACCAGAAAAAACAGCATATGTTAGGTTTTGGATGCAGGTATGTTGGTCAGTCACAGTGACCATGCTAAGTGACCAACTCAACCAGCACCAGACCAGCATAAACCACCATGGTATTTATGCTGAACTGTGCTGTTTTTTTCAGCAGAGATTAATAACCAATATAACTCAGATTAGCCATTTTAATCTACAAACACTGTTAGCTAGCTTGCTAGGTGAAGAAATATGCCTTTGAGTACATTTGAGCCAGTTTTTATACATCACACTTATTGTCACAGTTCCCCCTTTGTCCCTCTTCTTCCCCTGTGTGGTAGCCATGTCCCTTTAGTTTTCTTGCTCCTGTGCTTTTGTTGTTATTTTGTTCTGTGTCTCCTCCCTGGTCCTGCCCCCTTGTTATCTTCTCCACCTGCCTGTAGCTCCAAGGTGTTTATCGTTTCCTCTCAGTGTATTTATACCCCTGTTTTTGTTCAGTCTCCTGGTCTTGCATTGTGCATGTTCTTCTGTTTCATCTTTTCTTGATCTTTTCTTGATGGGTTTCCCAGTTTCTGGATGCTGTTAACTCTGATTTCAATAAAAGCAACTCACACTTGCATCCCGCCTCCTCACCTCCAACGTTAAACTTATAAAAGGCTGTTGAATTTAGTAAAAGCTTTTTTTACACAGATCTCTGCTGGCTGCACAAATTGGATTTATCTTCCTCGGTTTTGACTTCTGTCTGGCTCTTCAAACTCGGTTACATACCTCGGTGACAGATTGCTTTAGATTTACTTTTAAAAATGGTAAATAATGATGAATAGTCTAGGCTACTTTTTGAGGTACAATAAAATGAAACAAATCTATTAACCCAGTTAAATATCATAAAATATCAGAAATGAACCCATAAGTACTTACATGACAGGGAAAAGTAGTATTATGAGTAGTACTAGTAATTAGTTACAGGTTTAGTGACCATATTTACAGCATAATCATGCTGGTTGAGAGCTGAAAGACAAAAGTGCAATGACAGGGCTAAAACTGTACTTTATCCACTTCAACAAAAATCAAGACACAGAAGAAAATTTTATCAAACTTCTGTTGAGAGTGAATTATTGGGGAGAACAGTTCACCCCCTCACAACATTGCATGGCCATGTCCCCTTTCCCCCCCACTCCTCTTAAATCTGTGCCTATCAAAACATCCCACCCCTAAAAATTCAACCCCAGAGCACCTCAGCTACTTTTTCCTTTCATCTTTGAGTTATATTATCAGGAAGGGGGTTTTCCAAGACTTTAAATTGATAAGGCCCACTTTAGAGACTACTGCAGCTTCTCTGTACCAGGCAAGTAGACGTGTTTATAGATATAGCACTTTTTTTTATTTTTTATCCAGAGTGCTCCTTTAATGCACTTCTTTTCAATTCAAAATATAGAACCCTTCCATTATAAGAAAGTCTGTAAAGACTGATATATTACATCCATTAAACGCTTTATTTAGGTTATTCTGTATATTTCTATATAGACCATAATAGAAATAAATTCATATTCAGCTAATTTTTATTGTCAACATTGATGTTGTTACAGTTACTGAGCAAAATTCCATTCTCTCTCTATACTGTCTTTAATCCAGTTTTTGAATTTCCTGTTTACTGTATTTACAGCTAATGTAATACTTTTTGGTATATTTGATGTCTAATCTCTCTCGCTCTCTCTCTCTCTCTCTCTTTCTCTCTCTCTCTCTCTTAGGAGACATTGTGTTTGTGTCTGTGTGGGTTTTGGAGATTATTATTCTGCTGTCATTGTTAGGAGGTTTTCACATCTATGCCAGAATCCAAAGAAAACAGGCCAGCAGAGCAACAGAAAGTAAGAGCTCTGTGTTTACTACACAATAAAGGCACATTCAGAAAGTATCTTTAACCAGAATAAGACTCAAGTATAGGGCTGTCACGATCATGAATTTGGACCATGCCTTCAACATACGGTGCTAGTATGAGTGAGGATTGGTGGAGGGAGGAATTGGGGTGTTCTTGATGGCTTCTGTCTGGGGCTACGAGGCCAGACCACCAAAGAACTCTGAGATGAATTTCAGAACTGTTTAGGTCTTCAAATGAATGAGGTGCATGAGGAGTATGATCAAGGTACCTTCACATGAAGAAAAAGACAGTGGTCCAGAGACTTCTGTACTACAAGAGCTGATTCTGCAACAGTGACATGAGAACTGTAGCAGCTTGGGTAGAACTTGTTATGAATATATGCCAGCAGGATATGTGGGAGCTGGATTTAAAATGAGGGTTTGGTCACTTGCTATTAAGATAAGAGGAAAGATGTAGCAGATGAATTTGACTTGGTTTCATGGCTTGATGGTGAGAACTGCATAACAGACATCTGGGTCTGAAACCCTGATGAGCAAGCTGAGGGCAAGAGTGGCAAGGAAAAACTCCCAGAAGCATGAGGAAGAAACCTTGGGAGGAAACAGGACTCAACAGGGGCGTGGCAGGTAAAGGGTTGGATAAGAATAAACAGATTATAACTTACTGAAAAAAATGGTCAAGGAGTAGGGATGGCTATTAGAAGGTATTGGCTGCATATGGGATGGGTTGGTGATGGGTGTGATGATAGGCAGAGGCAGCTGGTTGATGCTGTGGTCAATGTTTGATGTAGTTTAGCCTGGAGTGTCCTATTGGCAACACAATGGTTGTTCAATTAAGGTTATGGATGAGGATCCCTTGCTTGAAATCCAAGCTTCCAAAAGGCCAGTGATGGTGAATCGACATGGATCCCATGGATTGAGGACTGAACGGGATACGAGAGCATAGTCAACAGTATATGGGGAGTCAAATCAGTGATGGCAGAAGTGTGGCCAAAATGACTTGGAGAGCAGCAGGTTCCCAGGGGCACAGGCAGCATCTTCACAAATGAATCAATGTTAGTCCATTTTAAGGGAAAGAAGGGATATTTATGGGATTTCCTCTGCATTGAGATGCAATGCTGACCCAGGGTAGAAGGAGTGGGAGAGGTCAAGCTCAGCCAAGCTGTTGCAGTGGAGAGACCTGGGAAGCAATGGCATCTGTTTTGTGAAGCATCAGATGTGATGGGGATAAGAGATGCAGCCAGCAAGAGTAGAGGATCAATCGGAGGCTGGGGTAAATGAAACAAGACTGTATGGGAGATGGAGAGAAGCTGCTGTTGTAAAATACGAAAGGAGTGGCTGATGCAGTTGAAGTTTATTGCATTGGGGTTTTGAGATGAATGCTGAATGGGGGCTAGAACTCTGAATGAGGTGTATCAAAAGTGCTGGAAGGACAATGGTCAAATTCAACGAAATGGGGTGCTTATCCCCTGCAGTGATGTTCCAAGTGGCAAAGTCCATGGGGTCACTTGTAGGTTTGGAAAGAAAAGTCAACAGGGGACTAGAGAGGTAGAATGAGAATGCCAGGTAGCAGGAGACGGTGTATGATGCTTGAGAAAGTAACAATGTTGATTCCAGGTCCTGGTAGTAAGAGTAGGAATGGGTGGAGGCAATCTATAGCAGGAGGCAGGGCTGGACGATTAATTTCCTATATAACGAGACATATTAGCCAATGAGACCATTGTATTCACAGTTCTTGGCCTGAGGCAAAGATGTGAGTCCTTCACCGATAGAGGAGATGTGGTGCACCAGGCCTTGTTAGGTGCAATTCCAAAGGGGGGGAGTGGAAGTGCAAGTCGGTCAAAGAAACAAGGTGCCAGTGTAGGGGGATATTAAAGAGGGGGATGAAGTAGAGCTTAGACATTCCATGGGTGCAGACCTGAAGAACTGGAGGAGTCAAGCAGTGATAAGTGGGGCAGTTGGGGAGAGGGGTGGTGGCATGAGTCATGTGGGGAATGACAGCCATCACAGGGGTGGAGCAGGAGGAGAGAGAAGTGTGTAGTTGGAGGATCCACAGGTGCAGGCAAAAGTGATCTGGATGATGTATAGGGAGTGAGGCTTTAGCAAGTAGGACAGTAGGGAGAGACAGTAGCATTGATGCTGCGGGAAGTGGTGAGACTAGCTGAGCAGTCAGGTCAAGAAAGTTTGAAGCATATATAGGTGCAGGCCAGAAGTAATAGAAGGAGGCATTGAGGGACATGCGTTGGCAATCGAGCAGCAAAAGGGTGGTGGAACCAGTAAGGATTGGGTTGGTGGCGGCAGCTGAGGAGTAGGAAACCTGGAATGAGGAGGTACAATGGACTGAGGAGGTGAAGGGTGTGGGATGAGGGATGAAAAAGGAGTGGGTGAAAGGAGAAAGAGGGATGTAGAGAGAAGAGCATGATGAAGGGGGATGAAGGAAGAGGGAGGGCTGAGGGATAAGAGATGAGAGGGCTGCATGAAAGAAGAGACAAATAGAGTGGGACATAAAAAGAAAAGGATTGAAGGGAGGGACAGCAGACAATGGGAAGTTGACTATAGGAGAGGATAAGATCAGTAGGTCGTGAAAGTATATAATACAATATGGAAGGGATCAAAGGCTAAGAAACAGAGCAAGAAGGTAAAAAAAAATGGAGGTCATTTAACACTATCAATGGTACACTGGCTGTGAACATTATAGATAATAGAACTAAGTAAGCAATTCCTCAACAAGAGCTAATACAGTCAGAATGCAAATATTGATTTAGGTAGGTTAGGTTAACGGATAAACTGACAAGCCAAACTGATGAGCAAAATGCTTAACATATGAAGGCATTGCATCCTACCAAGTAGATGTAACATATGATATTGGACAGATTGGAATTTTGGCTATATGGTAGGGAAAAGAGTGGGGGATAAACATGAGGAAGGAGGAAAATGGAAGCAGGCATGAAGGAGGAAACAGAAAATAGCAAGAGAGTGTGGAAATGGCAGCTTGTTTCACCACTTGGAGTGGCTGTTGATGAGGTGAAGACACTGTGTAGAATGTGCATTGGCTCTGTGATGTCATCATGTAGGGTGTGCACTGATGCATCGTCATGTAGTTTGAATGCTCACGCAAGCTGAGGATGGTTGAGCAATGGCGGCAGAGTCCAGGCAAAGTGATTGGTCCTTCATGTGCGAGGGCAGGAGTGGAGCCGCGTGAGTCACTTGAGACCACCTTGAGACCCCCGCCACCATGCTTGATGCATTGAGTCTGGGCAAGGAGAGTGCGCAAGACTGGGCAAGTCAGCCGGGCATAACCATGATTAGGTGATTCTGTACTAATTGTGACAGGCCTAGTTATGTAAGAGTCATTATATATTATTTAAACTTATCTAAATAAGGATTGCAAAGGTGGTGTCGATGTTGCTCAGTTGTCCATCAAATGTTAGATACATATGAAAGAGCACTGTTGTAGCAGCTAATATTATGCCCACTGTTAAGTTCCAGCCTGGATTACTTTCAGAATATTGTGGTCAAATTGGTAAAATTTATTGAAAAGGAATTATAATTATATTTTGTCAGATTTCATGCAATAATAGCCATTAAAAAGTCTTTAAACTTGGTATTAGCTAAAATCTCAAAAATGGTGCTATGTGTCCATTGTGAAATTAAAGTATCCTCTTCCACTGTGATGCTCCTAGGTAAGGAAGAGGAGGTGGAGGAGGGTCTGTACACCAACCGGGAACAAGAAGACAGAAGGCATCATTAGAGGAGATAAACCATCAGACTCTCCAACTCACACAACCTGAACCATCAGCAGAAGACAACCATCAAAGAGGAAATAGGCTGAGGTCATTTAGATAATTAAGGACAATGGTGGACTAAATTGACAATGAAAATTTGCCAGTCCAAGTAAGAAAGTTATTTAGTCTTCTGAATTAAATTTAAACATAGACAAGCATTTATAGCAATTTTTTTTGTCCGAAAGGTCTGCATGGAACTTACTTTAGCTAGCAGGTTGAGTCCAGTCCAGTCATCACTGGAAGAAAGTATGGCCTTCAGTAGCTTAATAAACACATCTCTTTAAACGTATCCTTTACAAAGAACATATGAGGTTAGAATTCCATTGAAAGTCCATAGAAAGATTCTCCACTCCATGCATAATGCGAAAGGTATGGAAACCGGTATCTCTCTTGGCATTGCTTTGCTTGCCTTTACCCCTACTGGCTGGCACTTGCTCCAAGGAGCTCAGGATGCGTGGCCATGCAAGCTGGCAAACGTAGAAGCTCATGGTACATGCAGATGTTCCTAAAAATGACTTCTTGTTAATTTTGCTGTTTGTTCATTTAAAAATATGTACATCTGTTTACTGTGTTATTCTGGGTCAAGGTGTTTGAGTGTTTCATGTTGAGGTTTAACGACCATGAGTTCAGTGCTTTGTATGTGCTTTTCTGCCCTGGTGATTAATAAAGCGCACCTCTTGTGGTGAAATCATGGCCACCCCTGTGTCTTGCTCTATGCCAAGGCTACTGTATATTTTAGTATTTCAACTACTGTTCCAAATTGAGAATTGAAATCTGCTGATTTGCTGGTCAGCCAAAGTGTCCCAGTGTTCCATCATGTCTGTTATCAAATCACTCACATACAGACACCCTACAGTTCAGTCAAAATATATGCACAGTTCTAAATAAGTTTCCCTTCACAATGAAATTCTAGAATAATACAATATATACAACACACATATACAAAATACAAAACGTTGTGCAAAACGTCTGTCCACAGGCAGTGGGTAATGCCTGTGAGTGTGCAGTGTGCATCTGCGCATGTTGTGTGTAGAAGGTTCATGGGGGGGATAGAGTCAAGGTTTCTCTCTGGTGTAGTGGGTTACAGGAGGGGCAGGGGAAGTGGATTGGATCTGTTAATCAGTCTGATGGCTTCAGTTGTTGGTGGTGTTGGAGGTGGGAGCCTTTGATGATGCTACAGGCTCTTCTGAGGACTCTCTGTTGGTAGATGTCCTACCAGAGATGGTAACGGTGCACTGGCAATCTTCTCAGCAGTCTTTATCATTCTCTTCAGGTCTTTTCAGTCCATTGCGGTGCTGTTCCCATACTACACAGAGATGCAGCTGGTCACGATAATCTCTATGATGGGACTGTAGAGCCTACTGAGAATCCTTGATGATGTCAAATTCTCTGAGTCTCCTTACGTACAGACACTGGTTGTGCTGTCTTGACCAGCCGGGTGATGTTGCACATCCATGTGAGATGATTACTGATGTGGACGCCCAGAAGTTTAAAGCTGCTCACTCTCTCCACCTCAGACTCTCAGATTATCAGTGGTTGTTAAGGTCCTCTCTCCTCCTCATGTCCACTATCATCTCCTTGGTCTTGTCTATATTGAGAGATAGGTTATTGATGTCACACCATAGCACTGGACTTGCTCCCTCACTCCTGTATCCTGCTTTGTCACCACCTGTGATGTGTCCAGTGACTGTGGTTTTGTTAGCCAATTTCAGGATAGTGCTGTTTTTGTGTGAGTTGATGCAGTGATGGGTGAATAGTGTGTAGAACATGGAGCTGAGAACACATCCTTGTGGGGTGCCAGTGTTCATAATCACAGTATTTGAGAATAGATTTCTAATCCTGACAGATTGCGGTCTTCCAATGTTGTGTTCTGCTCGGACATGAAGCACAAAGTTAGTGTAAGAGACTGGTGTAATCCTTGGAATTGGTGCTGTATTAGAGAAGTACTCATGTATGCGCCTATAATTTTTTGTCTAGGGAATCCATATTTGTATGCTTGTAGCTTTCTTTATCCCCATCCTTAAATACCTGTTTAATAATAATAATCTGTTTATTATTTTATTACTTTGAAATTACATTAAGAATTCACACAGAGTTTCCCCATCCTCCCTCCAATATGCTCCTTGCGTGGCCTTCTTCTCATGTTATAAGGCAACAGTGAGAGTTTGTGTCTACACAAAGACACAGTAAATGTCCAGAAGTATCCAGACACCTCTTCTAGTGAGTGAATTCAGGATAATCAGTGAATTCTCCATCGAAAAACTTGGACACTCTAAGCCAAGGTTTACCATGGTCAACGTAAAGCATAAGCTAGTGGGGTGTAAAGCCCCTGGCATTGGGTTGAGAAGCAGTGAACTATGCTCACTGATGGAGCTCCATAGCTTTGGGATGAGTTGAAGTGGTGTTTGTGATCCACAACTAATCAACCAACATCAGTACCTGACCTCACTTTCAACGTGTAATATGCACTGTTCTTTCAAACTGTTTGTTTCAATGATTGGAACATCTGATTTACCAGATAAATGATGGTAATCTGATCTAACTGGATATATCAGACATTCAGTTTATTGAGACAAACAGTTTAAAATAACTTGCTTTTATGTAAACAGAACAAGCATTTCCAAATTTATAAGAGATGTTATAAAGAAACCACAGATATATCTAAAGACCTAGATTGCTGATGATGTCACTATATACACAGTAAAGCGAAGCTACTTGTGTACTGTATGCTCCTGCTATAATCCCTAATTCGTGTGCTGTGGCAAGACATTTCATGTGCAAGTATTTATGTAGAATTATTTCACGTATTGAAACCATGATCTAAAATCACTGCTTTCTGTTTTTATTTGCATTTCTTATACTGTCCTAACTTTTGTGTAGTAGGTACACCTATGTATTTATTTGACCTTCAGAACAGCATGATTTTATCTGTGCATGGATTGCAGGATGAGGTGTGATCTATACCAGCGGTGATCTGTTCCACCTAAAGTATGTTGTTGTATATGCACTGTACACAGAGGTGGCAGGAGTACACAAGTCCTTTACTTAAGTTAGAACTGTTTTTTAACCAGTTACTTTTAAAGTATTCGTTATAACTTTTTGTTGCATTTTAGTTACAACATAACTCAAACTAACTAGCAATCAAATATGGATATCAGTACTTATTGCAACATAAGTTGATTAGTTTTGGCATTAAATATGTATCTCATCAATACTTCAAAATAATTTAAGCATATATAACTTGTGCTTTTTCCTAATAATACTTTTAAGCATATACTTACCTACGGTTGGTACACTAAACTAAATTTCATTTATTGAATATCTTTAAGTGTATTTTGTTTTATAGCAAAATATAATGTACAATGCATTTAAATGCAGCATAACTCAACATGTGGTACTGAAGTGTATCAGTGCAGGCTTATATGTGAAATCAAGCGCCAGCCCACCAGCACCTCATTTACATATCATTTACATGAAGCAACCCAAAATCATGTAAATGCTTCTGTAGATGCCAATAACATGACAGCATCCAGCATCTAATGAACCAATGGCTGTACTTGTAGGCAGAGCTGACCAAACTTTATAATGTTAAAATTACGATGACTGGAAAGAATAAAATGGAGAATTAATTAAACAACTATGTATTTTTAAAACTATATAATGATATGATTGTGTGATTATTTTCCATATTTAAATGCTGTATTATTGCAGCGTTTGTCCTGACTGGGTTTTGTATTTGTTATTTTTTGGGTGGAGTCAGTAGGATAAAAATAAAGCCACAGTGTCTTGGAATAGAACATGGAATAGTTGCAGCTTTTGTTTACACCAACATTCATGTGAAATAATTATGCTGAATGATGGTGGATGCATTGTTTTACAATAGATTGAGAAGATTTTGATTCAAAATATATTTTTAAAAGGCATTTATGGTCAAGGGTTTCATGCAGGACACTGTAAGGAAAAACTGTGAAAAGAAAAATATATTTTTCAGATTTACCAGTATTTTATGTGGAGTGCCAAAGGTGAAATGATGATCATTTTTTAATAAGGTGTGGCCACATATTACTATATTGATGCCACAAATTAATATAATGAGGCATTGTGAGTCCTGGTTGCTATCATCACCACTGTAAAGAAAGCTGAGTTAGTAAGTTTATCTAGAACTGAGTAGTGGAATTCCCCTTTAAGTGTGGTCAGATGTGTTTCCAGCTTTGCATACTGTTTAGAATTATCTCAGTGACTGAATTATGCAGAAATTTTGAGAAAAAATGGAATTTCCTTTTAATAGGAGAAATTTCTTCCCTCTAGTGCATAAAGCAGAGCAATGCAGGCGATTGGAGAAGAACTGTCAGTTTGGTCAGAAGTTGATGAAAGAATAAAAAAACAGTTTACAAATGTCTTGAATTGGAAATTATAATGCATTTTCCTTCCATATTGTGATGAATTTTCTGCAGCAAAAAGGAAAATATTTTTCCAGTCTCTCCTTTTCCCTTAGAATTAAACAGGCTGATTTTGTTACTGTTCATTTAAGACATATATATGTCAATGACCTATTCTCTGATTGGCTGCCCTACATTTTGCTTTATTATAAAATCAGTCTGGGCTTATTATAAATTCAATGCAAATGGTCTGGGCTCAACTATTGTAGGCTGAAACAGTGGATGTAGGTACAACTCTATTTCCAAAAAGTTGGGATGCTGTATAAAATGTAAATAAAAACAGAATGAAATTTAAACTCTGTATTTAATTCAAAATAGTACAAAGACAACATATCAAATGTTGCAACTGAGAAATTTTATTGTTTTTTTGTACATGTCAGGGATCTGGATGGATGTTGTATAAAAGGTTTAATAAAGAAACAAACCAGAGGTGGAATCCAAAAACAGGCAAATGGATACAGACAAAAGGCTCTGTAATGAACAGCAGTCTGATCTGATACTTCACAAGGAACCTAACTAAAAGTCTGGACTTTATGCTAACTCTAAGGGATCATATGACAAGGA